GTTACAGTAAAGACATTTATAATGTTATAAAAGATTTATATTTCAAATAAAATAAAATCAGTTCTTTTTAACTTTCTATTTATCATAATCCTAATATATATATATATATATACTGTATATATATATATATATATATATATATGGATGTAGGGCTGGGCGATATAGCTAAAAAATTTATCAACGATATAATGTTTCATATTGTTCGGTATCGATAATTATTGACATTTTTTATAACCTTTTGTAAAACAAAGAGCAATAGAAAAAAATGTTTCAATTTAACCACTGTATTTATAACACAATTTATTAAGACAAACAACAAATATTTTTTGTTTTAACAATCATAAGGGATGCAGTGAAAAGGAATAAACCTCCACAAATTCGCAACGTGTTTTCTAAAAGATTAAACTGTTTTCACTTTGCATGGCTACATCTCTTGTGTGAGACGCGAGTGCAGCAGTCATATTTGACCGTCTAAAAATGCGCTGAATATGCAGTGAATGGCTTTGGTTTCGGTTTTAACCTAATCAAGATCTTCTCCCCATTGAGCTACTATATTTCTCTAATATTTTCAATGCATAACACAGCAGCGGTGCATCTCGTGGGCTAGACTAACAAAACATTAAAATGCAACAACGCCACTTACATCATTATCACTGCATCTCGTGTGCCACTGATGACGCCCCGACACACTCCTAACATTTAAATGCAAATGTTTATTTTAAATTAAACTAATATTCATTTTTATATCGTTATCGAAGAAGGAGTACCATCGATAAATATCAATACGTTTTATCGCCCAGGCATATATGGACGCCACTCTCTCGTGTACAGTTAGCTAGAGATTAGAGATTAAGGTTTATAAAGTTGTAAATATGGATATTTTTCTTACACAAACGCATCGCTTCGCTTCAGAAGGTCTTTATTCACCCCCCGGAGCCGTGTGGACTTCTTTTATAATGGATGGGTGCACTTTTTTGGACTTCAAATTTTGGGCTACCATCCACTCCCATTATAAAGCTGGGAAGAGCCAGGATGTTTTTTAATATAACTACGATTGTATTCGTCTGAAAAAAGAAAGTCATATGCATCTAGGATGGCTTGAGGGTAAGCAAATCATGGGATAATTTTCATTTTTGGGTGAACTATTCCTTTAAGAACTTCCAGAATCTCTAACAAATTTCATTTCATGCCAGCGTTAAGTTTATGCATAAGGTTACGTTTCAACAGTTTAATGGGGCAACGCTGAAACATTTTGAAGTGCATATGTTTTTTAATAACCATTTAAGCTATAGCTAGGCTGAGTAACTTATGTACAGCTGGGTTAACTGGCCCCTGCACAAAGCTTCTTTCTATTTACATAACGTATGTGTATTTAACACACACAACTTAATCATCCAAATGCTGTTTGCACGAATATACTCAGTTGAAAATCCCAAATGTCAGTGAGATTCTAAAAATATCAACAATCCAAATTATTCCAGGCCTAGGAGGACATCTGTGTCTTAAGAGCGAGATCAGTTCAGAGAAGCCAAGTGGCTCCAATCTTCTATCAAGCCATATACTGTCCATTAACACACATTAGCAGTTAAAAAAGTCTAATTATGAGAAAAAGAAAGTAGGTCTGGAGGACTCAATGTCCCTCTGATTGAGGCCAACAAACCCTCAGAGACACTAAAGCACCAATCATGTGCCATTCTAATCCAAACATGAAACTTTCCATCACCAAAGTTAGAAGCATAGATCCAGATCAGCCAGGCCCTCTGGTCATTCATTACCACACAACACTAGGTCAGTGTGCTCCTCTCACAACCTTCTGATCTCTCTGACCAGGCCCGTTTTTAGACATGAAATAGCCTCATTCAGCGGAATCCCTTTATATCGCAGCACCTCAATGCAAACCACCTCATCCGTCATCCCAAGCCCCAAAAAATCCCTAATTGACCACTTTCAAAAGATCAACCTGGTTATTCAGTGACCTGAAAGATGAACAAAACCAAACAAGACTTCTCAGTTGCACAGATGAGTGTGTGAGATTTAATCAGTAACGTTGATGTGCACATTGTTCATTTTAACACTCCATGGAGAACTTGCATTAACCTTCCAGTCACGTCTTATCAATGTTCTTCAATGTCAGAAAGAATATCCAACTCTAAACCATCATAAGACTGTGAGTTTGATGCTTTCCAGATGGAAACTCAATGCAAAGGTCAAGGCATCCATGAACAAAGTCAGCAAGAGTTTAAAGGCATTATTGGATTGGTTTTAAGGTGGGTACTGGGTGAACCTTTTCATTAGCAAGGCAGCATTATGAGCGATGCTGTAACGCAGATAATCTGGAATGTTGGCTTAGTTTATGGCGAACACTTCAAAGCCTGTGATCACCTGCTTTAACGTGAACCAAAACAGGCGATTGGCCCCTAGGTGCAAGACAAAAGCCAGCGGGCCAATCAGCGCAGCTGTTAACTATGGCGGTGTAATGGAGGATGATTGGAATCAGCTGGGCTGTAGGCCATGACAGAGACTGGGTTTGATTAGCAAGCGCTTACCCAGCCCTCCTGCGGCTGAAGGGTGAATGAAACAGACAGAGGGCAAGAAATATTTACTCTAAAAGGAAGTTCTTGGCAAAGGAAAAGCACTGTGGCTAAAAATACTCCAACGCCACTGCCGACACCAGATGTCTTTTTCATTAAATATAAAAAGTGTGGGGGGAAATGTACTAGAAGTTTTAGGCAAACAAGCATTAAATAGCACAACCTCACTCCTGCCTATTTCTATTTTTCTCTTGCGCTTTGGCATCGTGGTAACCCTTTCACAGTTGAACTTCTCTTCAATCTGCTCTTGGATCAATCCACCCAATCTTGCTCAGTCTTTCTTTTTCCGTCCCATCTCTTTCAGATAGTTGCCAAAGTATTTCAGGAAACACGATGACCTCATGGCTAATGGATCCATGTACAGTAGGCGGTAAAAACAGCACTCGGAGGACATGAGCTCACCAGCACTAAACAATACAAAAGCTCACTCATTTGAGCTGTTCCCATAGTGCATGGTCCAAACTTTATCTTTTCTTCGCCCCTTCCCACACTCTTCAGAGATATGGGAGCATAATGTTTCATTAATGTGGAGAATGTGAAATTCTTTAGTGGGAGATCAAAGTTTCCCTTTAGACATGACCCTTTTTACTAGAGCACGAGCCCCAGTGAAACACTGGTGTGCCCCAGTAAATCTTTGTCAGATGATGACCATATTCAGATCTAAGAATAATTTTCCCTGATAATATTTCAGCAATCATGTCGTGTGTTTTCTATCAGCTGTTTAGAATAAGAGCTACCAATGTCAGATTTGAGAATGAATCAATATTGATCTAACACAAACTGGTTTGCAAAATATCAGAAATTGTTAGCAACTGATTCAGTTTTATTCATTCAGACAGTACACTCACGCACTGAATCGTTTAGTGGTATCTCATTCTGATACTTATAAGACAGAAAAAATAACAAGAGTTACAAGAGTATCAAAAAATGATGAAACACCCCTGGACATATCTGACTGTTAATTATTATGTATGAATTAATAATGTAAAATGACTCAAGACTCTGCTATGAATATGAGCAACAGAATATAGGCAAGGCAAGGAAAGTTTATTTATATAGCAAATTTCATACACAATGGTAATTCAAAGTGCTTTACATAAAAGTAAAAAAAATCACAATAATAAAAGCAAGGAATTAAATTCTAAAATGATTAAAAAATGATTTAAGTTGAAATTAAAACAATTAAGAATAGAAAATAATGATACATAAAATACAGTGCAATCAGTTCGGACGAAGCACAGTGCTCATTCAGTAAAAGCACAACTAAAAAGATGTGTTTTGCGTCTAGATATAAGAGAGGCTTCTGATTTTAATAAATAAAACATAGAAATAGCAATATATTCAATGTACCATATACTCTACTTTCCCAGAACAATGCAAACTACTAAAGTATGTTTTGTTTGTTCTGTGCCAAAAAGTGACATTTAGATCGTATGTTGGTCAAACATTTATCTTTGCTATAGGAATTCACACACAGTTCACCAAATTTGAACTTTGGTTCTCAGTAAAGACGAAACTTATTCATGTGCTTGAACTCACCGTTATAATGTACTCTATAGGGTTACACCACCTGAAACATCTACAGCCACGAATGCACTCTGGGATATGTTGTAGTTTCTCTTTTTATTGTGTTGATAGCATTCTAGAAACTTCCCAATACCACTGTTCATAATGTATGTAAAGCACTCAAGAGATAAAGAATTTGGTGGAAATCTCACCCAATCTCTGGGGACAGAAAATGACCAGTTAAAAGGATGTGACCCATTGATGTTTCATGTTAAGCAGCTCACTTCCTGATGCACAGATAACAGATAGAGTGAGGAATGGCACTGAGATGAGATTGGGAAAGGGTGTGTAAGTTGTCATATGAGAGAAACGAGAGAAAAGGAAGTGTGTTTCAGCATATGTCAGAACAGGAGAAGTGCTGACAGGACGGAAAGCGGAAGGCCCACAGACACTCTCCAGGGCAAGAGAGGATGAACCAAGGGTCAAGGTTTGGATGGTCAACTCCAGAATCTCCAGCAAAAAACTGACAATTGACATCCATTTAACAGAAGCAGAATCAGAAAGAGCCTTATTGCCAGGTATATTTACACATACGAGGAGTTCGTTTTGTGACAGAAGCTTCCACAGCACAAACAGAATGACTGTTTAGGATAGGACTGACTGATAGGATAAGTAAATAGGAAATAGCAATATACAAAATATAATATTTTAAAAATAAACAATATACAAAGTAGACAATAGATGGTATTTGTGTGAACAGGTGCATTATGTACAAATGCAAGGAAATGTAAAAAGAGGTATGTGTGTTAAATAAATAAATGTATAGATATTGTTGTGTATTACACATTTATTGCCAAGTTAACTGTTCATGAAATGGATTGCTTGAGGGAAGAAACTGTTCTTATGCCTTGCCGTTCTAGTGCTCAGTGCTTCTAGCGTCGACCAGACAGCAACAGATCAAAGAGGAAGTGCTGGTGTGGGGGTCCAGAATGATTTTGCCAGCTCTTTTACTCACTCTGGATGAGTGCAGTTCTGGATGAGTGGAGAGTGGGGAGGTTTGTACCAGTGATTCACTCAGCAGTCCAGACTATCCGCTGCAATCTTCTAACATCTGATTTGGTAGCTGAGCTGAACCAGACAGTTATAGAAGTGCAGAGGACGATTCAATGACTGCAGAGTAGAACTGTATCAGCAGCTCCTGTGGCAGGTTGAACTTTCTCAGCTGGCGAAGGAAGTACAGCCTCTGCTGGGCCGTTTTGACATAGGAGTCTATGTGGAACTCCCACTTCAGGTCCTGAGAGATGGTGGTGCCCAGGAACTTGAACGACTCCACTGTTGTTACAGTGCTGTTCATGATGGTGAGTGGGGGGAGTACAAGGGGGTTCTTTCTGAAGTCCACTATCATCTCCACTGTTTTGAGCATATTCAGCTCCAGTTTGTTATAACTGCACCAGACAGCCAGCTCTTTAACCTCCATTCTGTAAGCAGACTCGTCTCCGTCCTGGATGAGGCAGAGGGGTCTTTAGAGGTGTAGTCGTTGGTGTACAGGGAGAAGTGCAGTGGAGAGAGAACACATCCCTGGGGGGGCGCCAGCGCTGATCATATGGGTGCTGAAGAATTTCCCCACTTTATTCAAAATAATAAAAAATAATAATAATACCAATAACAATAATTACAATAGTAATAATAACACTTCTAAAATTTAAAAAGTATGAAATTCATTAAATGAGTGAAGTGAAACCTTTTATGGGGGGGCTTTTTACAGTATGAAATTGATTTTTCAGTGTGTATAGTCATGCTGGAAAATGACATCAGTTCCAGCATGATCAGTCAAATGGCATTTACGGCTCTGCTGAAAGACTCAAAAAAAAACTGTTTCCAAAAAGCAGCATCCAATTCTCATACTTCTGGGGCTGAAAAAACCAGCCAAGCAACTTCCATTAGGATGAATGGTACGCTAATGGAAAGCTTTCCCCAAAATATATTAGAACTCCCTGGGCAGAAGCTTCCAGACTACACATATGGACAGCAGCTCTGAGAAGGAAGAAAAGCAAGCCAAAAACTGTTTTACTCTTCCTTTAACTAAAGACACATGATGAACAGACAGATAAAGGGCAGACTGGGGGGTGGTTGACGGTGAAAGCAAGCACCTTTTGCATAGTCACACATGAAGTATTCAAACTGTTTTTGAAGATAATGGTAATAAGTTTCATATGGGTTATCATCATTCATTTTTCTCAAACATATTCTGTGTGCTATGAAACAGCAATGAAGCCCTAAATCAGCATACATTTCAGCATGGCTACTGAATCTCTTAGGCTTTAACAGTAATCTCTTATTATGGATCATTCTGACCATGATGAGCAATTCAGACAAATTTGAGATGATGTAGTTCAGCTGCAGAACAATCAAACAACCTATAAAAGCACACAGAGGAGCTCCTAACATAATGCTACACAACACTGCAGCTGTCTACAGTTCTGTACATTCAGTGCTGAATTGTATAGGAGCATATGTGTAAATGCACATGGGTATGCATGCATGAATCTTTCACATCATGTCACACATGTGCCATCCGCCTCTAAACCTGATGGCTGCAATGATTACGCACCATCTGCTGAGCTTCGCCCCAAACACACAGGCGTATATAAGCAGAGGCCAGGTCTCATACAAACTTGGTCTGTGTGTCACAGTGACAAAGAGGATTACATATACGACCACAGACATAGCACATGCTCCCCTCCCCCACACACACACACACTCAGTCATGCAATAGTGCTGTAATATCCACTAACTATTAGCCCTGCTATAATCCCACTGAAACCGACTGTGATGACATAACTATTAACTACTAACCCTGTGGCATATTAAGCACATGAAAACAAACATACTGACACATGCTGCACTAGCCAGATTGTCAGTGTCTTCATGAAAAATTAATTTCCTTCAGAATATTCCCACGACATTGCAACTATAAATACATCAATCAATACACTGTCACTGTCTCTCTCTCTCACACACACACACACACACACACACATACAACTGTATTTGTTGTATTTACGTGTATTGCCATATCAGCATCACACGCAATCATTGCAAATGAAGATTCAACATTGAATAAATACAAACACTTAATACAATTCAACTTACAATTTTGTATATACATAACTCTTGTAAGAAAATAGTTTTTTTTTTTTTAATCACAAAGTCCTTCAAAGTTTGTTCTGATAAAAATTGTTGGTTCATGACATTAAAAACTGTGCAGACCAAAAATATATGTTTTCGCATACAGCTGTAAAATCTAGAATAGAACTGAACAGAACACAAGGGACTATCTGACCTCATGTTCTCAAATTTCTTCTCCTCAGGTCCACAAAAAAAATGATATTGCTTTATTGCTTTATACAGGCAGATAAGAAGATTCTGGGAATTTGTTTGATTATTCAAAAGGATGCAATCAAATTCCGTTAGAGCAATTATGTTAAATAACATATACACTGAACCACTCAAGTAAACAAAAAGTTGCTGTCATTGAGTTCATTACAGGGAGCAGAACAGAATTCTGAGTATTAACAGTAAGACATTCCAAACACTCCACAGGGTTAATGGGAAATCCTTGAAGTTTGCAAAGCAAGTACTGTAGGAATCTTTGCAACAGTGTTACAAGGGCAACAGAGTTAAGGATCTAGGAACAAGAGGTAAATTTAGGATACTGACAAAAAAAAGGTCAGTGACAATGAATGCATTTAGAAATTGAAGAATATGCATTTGAGATTTTTTATAAAATAAGAGGAAGCAGTTGATAAATAAGTAGAGGAAGACTGGCAAAACATTGATCATAAATTCAGTCTAGGAAAATGATAAGATGCCAACTTGTTGCCAAATGTTGCCATTTTGTGTAAACTTACCATCACTACAACATAACATGAGCGTTTAAACACTTTCCCCTCTGTCATGGGTCCAGATTTCCCTCTTGCACTGGGTGGAGGGGCTCCCTGGGAATGGCCTTGCTAACAGTAATCCCATCTGGCTGAGCTCCAGCCCTCCTTATTCTACAGGCTGTGGGAAAAAGCATCCAGCACTGCAGAGCTCTGTAATCATTTCACCAGGACTGAAAACCTAGAGCCCTTGCTGACCTTTTCCGTGTCCAGAGTTTCAACCATGACAAGACAATAGTAACAAACCAGACAAACACACCAATGGCCAAGAAGACCATTCACAGGAAACCTTAAGGGGGACTAAATCTGCACCCTAGTGTGCTCCCTGTACCTCTAGGGGAGACTGAGAGATTTGCCACAAACCCCGCAGAGTGAAAAGAGCTGCAAAGCTCCAACCTCTCCCAGTCTCTCTGGGCCTAATCAGTAGGCTTTCATATACAGTACTGCACATACACACATTATACTTGAAGCTTCAAGTAGCCCAGCAGTGTCTGTGCATTAGAGATATCTATTTATAGACATGAAAAAATAAAACAAATATATGAGCACACACACAAGGACATGTACAACAACAAAGCCTAAATCAGGATTGCGAATTGCAGAGGCGACTGCCGTGCCAACACACCCAAAGGACCAACAGAAATATAAGTGAAACATAGCAAGAGACAGAGAGATACAGGTAAAATTAGAGAGAAACAACAGGAAAATGTCAAAATAACAGCAGGCGTATTAAAAAGAGTGAGTAGTTGCCCAAAGACGAAGATAGAGGCACTTTAAATGTGCTTCTTCCACTGGGAACAAGAGAAAGAGGACAGGAAATAGACTATAATAGTAAAATATGAGGAAGGTTAGAGATTGAGAGAGCAGAACAAGGGATGAGGGTACAGCCACTTCACATTTAAATCAATAAAACTGTCAATGTCTGTTCATTTTGGCTTCATTCATGCTCTAATAATCTTTTCATACATGTCTATATTCATCCTCTCTGTCCATGACTCTAGACTTCATGACTTCAACAGTTTATAGCTTTTCAAGTAATTTGTGGGCCATGTTAGAAAAGCACACCTTCAAGACATTCTGGGACTGCCTGGGGTGCAGAGGTGGGGCGTAGAAGTATATGACACACTTATTATGCTGGATTGACATGCACATGTAAGTGAGGAGAACACAAAGGGTGTAGTGCAGACAAAGCACAGCAGAGAAGGAGACACAAATACAAGACAAAAAAGAAAGAATGCCAGTGTAGGGTTAATAAAATGTGTGATGATAGCACCAGCTGAGCCAGCAGTAGTAGATCACGCCTGATTACTGATTCTTAATAGCAGGGATTATGCTCAGTCCAGCCCAGGCTCACCCACCAATCATCCTCCAACACTCATACTCCACGTACACAGAGATCAAAATCTGTACATTCATTCATGCATTTTAAATGCAACCCATATCTCAGTCTTCCGTAATTATCAGTGGACTCATACAGTGTAGACGGTTGTGTATTTGGTTGTTCTAGGCAGTTTGACCCTGTATGTTCCAAGACAACATTACACGAATGGCAAAGAAACAAATTTAACTGTCACTGAAAAGTGAATGTTTTAATAGAAGTCTCTAATGAATACACATTTACAGTGCTCTGAAGACCAAAGAGAGGCAGCAACTCCTCAAATGGGGGGAACGTCTCTTTTGCCATCCTAACACAAATTGTT